ATATTTATCAATTTTTATCAATTCTTTATTAAGTTATAAATAAAAATATAATTGTAATTTTTTTCTTAACACTGTATATTTTTTATTTTTTTAATAAAATCTTTATATATGGGTAATTATTTTTGAAGGCAACAAAAATGCTAGATATAATTTTTTCAGATTCAATATAAATTTTAGGATCACACCAAAAAATTTCTGGTCTGCCTTCAAAAATAATTACCTATATTTTTAATTTGTAAATTTTTAAATTTTAAAATTTTAAAATAATTGCTTTATAATATTAAAAATAAAATATAAAATTTTATAACTTTATAAATTTAAATAAAATAAATCTAAAAGTTAATTAATAATATTATTATAATTATATTTTATTTATAAAAGTTTTTTTTATTTTTTAATTTACTATTAATTAAAATTTTAAAAATTATAAAAAAAATTCCAAAAAGTTTTGCAACATATCATATATATTAAATTTATTATAAATTAATACCATTTCAATATGATTTGAAACTCTAGAAATAATATTTTTAATTGCAATATTAGACCTTTCAATAATTTATATTATTGCTATATGTCACAGTATATAGTGTACTCTTTGTCATGAATACTTAATGTTGTATATCTTTTTACTAGTTTATTATTTTTATTTATATACAGTAGGTGTCAAAAATATCACCTGAATTTTTTAAAAAAATTTTTTTCTTTATTTATTCAATTTCTGTTTTATTTACATCAAAATTTTTTTTATATTTATTTAATATTTTGATACATAACCCTCTACATTTATTACTGTCTCGATTCTTTATGGCATTGAGTCAACAACTGCCCAAAGAACTAATACATTTAAATTTGCACATGTCTCATTTAATGCTACCTTAAGTTTATCTTTGTTCTTTAAAAAATCATCCCTATTTTGAATACTATCTTTTAAGATCCTTTAAATGTTTTCTATAGGATTTAGATTGGAGGATCATGATGGCCAATCTATAGTTTGGAACAAAAAATCTGGCACTTGGTTTTTTTTATTAAAATTAATTATATTTATTAAATATAAAGAATAATTTTTATTAAAATTTTTTTTAAAAAAAATTAATTTAAATTATTGTCATTCTTTTTAAAATCTTTTGTATTAAAAGCAAAATCAATATAAAATTATATTAAAATTACTTTCTACTCTACAGAATTTGAACATAAAATAAAAAATGCAATAATAATTTTTTAGTAAAAATTAAAATTTTTTAAAACATTGATAATTAAATAAAAAAAGTTTTTTAATACAAATTATTTTATTAGTTTAAAATTATTTATATTTATATTTTTATTTAATTTAAATAAATATTTATTAAATAATAACAAAAATAAAGTGCCATTATTTTTGTCCCATACTGTATATATTTGATTTTTTGTGTCTCAAGCCAATCTGATACCCTATGTATAGGGGCATTATCATGTTGAAAGATTACATTTGATCCTGTTAATGAACATGCAGCAGTGGCAAATAGTATAAGGTGATTATTAAGAACCTTAATATAAATTTCCTTATTGATTTTTTGTTATGGATCCTTGTAGTTGTCGAAAAAAACCAGGGGACCTTTGATTTTACCAACGAAACATGACTACACTATTACTAAAACCCTCTACTCTTAAAACTTGGTACCAAACATTCATGTTTATACCTCTCATTAGCATAATGCCATACTCTAACCTGATAAGATTGTTTACCTACTTCTATACTCATTTCATCAGAAAAAATAACACTCCAACACTTGTAAATATTTTTGTTTTTGTTTTGATCACACCAATCTATACGTCTACTTATATTATTACTTGATAAGAAAGGTTTCATGGCAGCAACACGAGAATGAACTCCAAAGTTGTATAAAGCTCTAGCTACAGTCTTTTGGCTGCATTGAAGGTTTAGATCTTTTATAATGTTGCATAAGGGTTTACATCTCTCCTTTAAGACTTTTTTTAATATGGCGATCTTTTTTTGCTTTTTTAGAATGGGGGGACGTCCAGGTCAAGATAGATTTTCAAGTTTTTTAGTCTTTTTGTACTTCTTTAAAAACCTTCGAACTGTTGTTGGGTTATGACCGATCTTGAGAGCAACTTGTTCTACACTCATGCTACTGATATGAGTATATGGCATTTTATAAAGTTTTTTTTTTTTTTTGAGTTTGATTATTTCGACGTTAAGGAAGCAAGAGATAAAAAAAAATTGCCCCAAATGCGTAGTAGGGGATAAATACATCCCCTTTATTTCCTCACGTGCATTGATCTGCAGATCGGGCGATATTTTTGACGCCTACTGTACATTGATTGGAAGACCGGCAAGTTTTCTACGGGGGTACTATATACTATACACGGCAATGCGCGTATGACGTAGGCAATTTTTAATAGCAATAAATAATTTTAACAATTATATTTTATTCCCGATTTCGCAATATCTAATGAAATTTATTTCGACCAAGATCCCGCGAATTGAAACATTCTAAATGAATGTGAACTAGAACCTTTTGAAATGAAAATAGATTATTACATAAAATGTCTCAAAAAAATCGTTGACTGCGAGCAAGACATCAAGAAAAAAAGCGCTCAGGCGCTACTTGATAAATATCAAAAGGCGAGTGCTAATCATTTTTTTTCTATTGGGAATTTATTTTGAAGAAAGTGGCGTGACGTGGACCTCCTTGGTACGCGCTCATTCAAGGCTCTTTGCCGAGCCACGAAACTGGTGTTGGCGCACCGGTTACCCTCACTTGAGTTATTTGATACCAAAGGCTCTTTGCCGAGTCACAAAACTGGTGTTGGCACACCAGTTACCTCACTTGAGTTATCTGATGCCAAAGGCTCTTTGCCGACCCAACATCGGACCCACTGGGCACGGGTGACCTCCTCGGTTGCGTGATGTTCTGGTGGGACGGGAAATCGAATAGATTTGAGATGTGTTAGTCAAAGAATATTAATTATTCTAAATCTTCCATGTTAGGATCTAAAACCAGACCTCAAAAAAGCAAGAGAGTGGGAGGAGAAACGCTCGCGTGATAAAACTTACATCCACCAGCCAATTTTCGGAAATAGAAATGTAGTTGGTTTTGATAGCAATATCAACAGCGGAACTTTCACTGAATTATCAAAAAGAGAGGTACAGATACGTAATTTTTTTTGGCTGGAAGTTGTGAGATAGTGATTGTCTATTAGAAACTAACTCTTTCTCTTTGTATTTAGTCCAATGATGCCTATTTCTATCCGTCAATCAAAGCGGAAAAAATTATTGTTGTCAAAGGTTAGAATATAACAATATATAAAATGTTATCTTGAAATTTATGAGAGTTTTTTTAATGACTTTGTTATGCCTACAGAATAAAAAATTAAATGTCTCAGTTAAAAAAGTATGTATAAATGCAACTTATGATAAGGATTTTGTTCACGCGAATTCCTCAAAATTTTTTCTTGTATGAACAGGTTAAAGCCACCAGCGGGAACATAGATTACGATATTGATTATCCATTTATCAGCGATAATAGAGCCATTAATTTAGCAGAGAGTTCGGATTTTTCGAAAGATAATTCTTCAATATCAAGTTCCATACGAGGTTCTGTTTCCTTCGATAACCCCTTTAATAACAGTATAATAGTATAAGCAGAGCGTAATTTATGAGAATTGTGATCGGTCAGATATAACTCTTTCTTTTTGTATTTAGTTCGATGACAATTTCATGCTTATCCAACCAAAGCAGAAAAGAAATTTATCTTTACCAAAGAAGGTCGGTATAGAATTTATCTCTAATTATGATAAGGATTTGAATTTCTCTCAAAAATAGAAACTTATTTTTGTGATTCTTTTTTAGGCTGATGATGACAAAGATCTTAAGTTAACTGATAGTAGTTCAAAACAGCGTAAAAAGTCATCTGAAAAAGTATAAAAGGTGAAGAATTTGTAGTCTTTTCATAGTAACTTAGTAAATGTTAATTTTTCATGATATTTTTAATGATTGTTTAAATTTCATCTATAGTCCAACATATCCGAAAAAAATTGAATATCACGATGAATCAATCGCAAAAACAAATAGGCAGAAGGAAAATAACAATATTAAACGTACATTTGTGTTGGAATGGGATTTATACGAGGGCTTGAAACAAATAGTTACAGTACGTACATGTAGATAATTACTTCATTATTTACGTACATACACCGTCTCCCAAAAAGAACGCAACATCTGATCAGCGATCTTTAAATGCTAAAATTTTAAGTAGGTTAAATCAGATTATGATGAAATTTATAATATAGATAGAATATAAGTATGCTTAAATAATTTATAAGTTAAAATAGATATTAAATTAATAAAAAAAAATTTACTGTTGCAATATTTTTGGAGTTTTTTAAAAAAATAAATTTTTTTATTTATTTATAAAAAATACATATATATAATTATAAAAATATATTTGATTTCTATTATCATCTTGTATAACCATCTTTTGCCTTAATAATATCATTAATTCTTTTAGGTATTGTTTCTATATATTCCTTATAAATTTTTTCAGATGTTTCATTTCAAATTTCTAATAAATTATTCTAGAAAGTTTCTTTATCATTAATATTAATCTCTAGATCATTAACTTTTTTTTTCATATTATTCCAAATATTTTCTATTGGATTTAAATATAAAGATTTTGATAGTCAAGGAATAGTTCCAATTTTATTATTTTTTAATTATTTTTTAATTATTTTAGTCTTATGTTTAGAATTATTATCATGTTGAAATATAATATCTTTAAAAGTTAAATTATAAATCTTAATGAATACATTAATTCTTTTTTTAAAATTTGTCTATAAAGTTTTGCTTTTAAATTTTTTTCAATCCTAAATAAATATCTTGTATTGTAATAAGTAAAACATTCCTATATATTAATATTATCTTTATTAAATTTAGTTGTGAAAATTATATATTGATTCTTTAAAGGTTTTGTAGATTTTTCCAGTAATATGGGTAATTATTTTTGAAGGTGACAAAAATGCTAGATATGATTTTTTCAAACTCAACTTTTAAACAATACATATATAATATAAATTTTAGAATTACACCAAAAAATTTCCAGTCTGCCTTCAAAAATAATTATTCTTATTTGTATATTTTGGCTTCAAAAAGTTGAAGTTTAGTTTTATTAAACCAAATTATTATACTTCAATCTTTTATAATCAGTTTCTATATAATTTTACAAATTCTAATTGGATTTTTTAATGTTTTTTACTTAAAAAAAGCTTCTTGCACTATGTATAAACTTTTAATTTATTTTTATTTTAGAATTCTTTGAATTGTGTTGACACATATATATTTTTTCTTATTTTTTCAAGAATCTATATATATTTATAGCTGTTTTATATTTTCCTTTTAGAATTTTTTTTAAGTACTAGCTATTACATTATCCATTTATACTATTGCTTATAGTTAGTATTTATATATATATTATGTTGTAATAGTACTATACTATTAGTAAATTTGATTACATTGGAATTATTTCAAATATTAGCATTAACTATCATTTTAATTACTAGCCTAAGCTAGTGTTAAGGAACTAAATAAAATGTCTCATTTATTCTTATGGATCCATTCCAATATAGAAATAAATACTTCTTTTTTTTTATAGTCTCGTAAACTATAAAAGAAAAATATTAGATATTGAAGATAAGAGTGTGAAGAAAATCTTCATCAAGCCTAGACCAATTATCGTAATATTTTCCTGACAATTATTTTACTATCAATGCCTTTTCTGGAAATCATAATCTCAATGCCTATTGAATTAGTATAAGAATGGCTTCTTATAAAAAATAACACTTAACTAGTTATAATAATGAATATTCAAATTGATCAATTCAATTTGTCTTCTTTTGAAATTGAACTTGATATCTTGTGATCTGATCTATGGAGTGCTAATCACTGTATTATGGATATGGTCTTGAAAATTGAAATTAAACAGACTTATATAGACTTACATAAGATTTAAAACATTATTAAAAAAGATAATAAGTTATAATCCATATATTAAATTTACTATGAACCTGAGAATCAAGAATCAAATCAAATTAAATTGTTAGAATCCTTAACTATAGATCCACAGGTTTTTTTCTTTTAGAATTTTTTGGATAATAATATATTTCTTATATAAAATAAGTTTAGGTAAACAATTAGAAATAGGTTTATTTTCTAATTTATCTGTTTCAAAATATTTTTTTAAGTCTATATATAATAAAATAATAAATATTGTTATCAATTTTGGCAACAATCTAATATAAATTATAATCTTTTTCTAATAAAATAATAATATTTGCACTTTTTTATAAATAACTATTTTAAGAATATTTGGTTTATATAAGGTTTAAGTAAATTTTTATAGTTTTATATTTTTATAAAAAATAATAAAAGTTATGTAACAATAAATTTTTATTAATTGCATTATAAAAAATTTTTTATTATTTTAATTGTTATTCTACTATATACACTAAATATATTAAACTATACACTATATATAATATTAATTTTACTATAATTTGATTTGATTAGATCAAAATTTTAATACTTAAAAATTGACAATCAGATATTGTATTATTTTTAAAAGATAATATAGTATTAGTAGATCTTAAATTTTGTACTGTGAACATTTTTTCATTTCAAAAGATTTATTGAATCAAAATCAAATAAATATGAGTTGAAATTCTCTAAAAACCTGATTAGTTAATATGTTATTTTTTTTAATGTAATGTATATATATTAATAATTAGAAATATTAATAAGAATAAATTAGATTATTAATATCCAGCACTTTAAATTCTATATTACTTTTGAAGAAAAATCCTATTTATACTGTATATAATTAAACATTTCATTAATTATTTGTATAAAGAATTTTAAACAAATAAAAGTAATATATTTGTAATATGATTTACTAAAAGTAATTGAAAATATATGTTATCAATATACTCAAGTTGCCCAAAAGCAGATCAATAAGACTTTAGAAAAAAAAATCTATAATATTTATAATAATTTAAAAATAAATTTCTATTTAATATTTAATTATTGTATTTCTCGAGTTATTAAGATAATTCTAATTAATACAAAGAATTAAAAAATAAATTTTTATAATTTTTAAACAATAAAAAATACTCAAGTATATTATTCAATTTATTTATTTATTTATTTTTTTCTAACAGACTGAATATAACAATTATTAGTAGTTCTATACATTATTTATATTTTAATAGAAGTTTAAATACAATATTAATATTTTATTTACTTTTTTTATAGGATAAACAAGTTGTCATTTATAAGCACATATAAAAAAAAAAAGATAACGGCAATAGTAAAAGATATAAATCTGATTTTACAATTATAATTAATAAAATAAATGACAAATTTGAAGTTATATTTGGCTTATTCAAATTGCTTTACAAAAGTAGCTTCTATTATATATGTAATAGAATTGAATTTAAATATTTTTCAAAACTATATATTTTTTTTCCATAGATAAATATTATTTCTTTATTTATTTGTATATTACAAGATATATATTTAGAAAGAAACAACAACTCTTAAGTGCAAAACATACAACAAGTTAAATGCTAACCTATTTACAAATACTATAAATAGCTAATACTAAAAAAAATTTTAAAACAATATTGTTATTAAATATAGGCCAAGTAATAGTTATGCTTATTTACTTAGAAAAAATATTTAAGATATAAAAAAATTTTGAAAAGAAAAAGTAGGGCTCCTAATGATACCACTTCAATATTACTTTGATACTTAAATTTACTATAAAATTATATAAGTAGATCACAACCCATATATTAAATTTATTATATATTGGTATCATTTTGATACCAGTTCGATATCAGTTCAGTACTTTTCAGAGCCTCAAGAAAAAAAATTTGAGAAAAGAAAAAATAAAAGTAACTAAATTAAAACAAAATTAGATAAACTATAAAATCTATAAAAAAAAATCACATTTCCAAAAGAATTCCTAGCCAGGCTCATTGTTTTATTTCTCTAGTTCTTTGCTACTTGTAAGTATAATTTTTGTTAATATGAATAATAAGATATATATAATTTGATTTGTTATTATAGTTGTTGTTATCTTAATATAATTAATAGTTGATAAAAAAATTGGTTTATAAATTGGTAATATGATTTTGTTTTAGCTATAGTTGTCAAAATTGATTTTGTTTATATTGATCATTATGTAATATTTTTGTCATACAGATTTGTTTTAGTATTTGATAGTGTTTGATTGATTAAGTTTAAAATGGTAATTAGTTAACAGGAGTAAACTGATTACAGTTTTTTTATAAGAAATTTTTAAGTAAAAATTTTTGGTTTTTTGTAATGTAGCATATTATATTAAGTAATATTGAAAAGAATGTATTATATATACTCTTAATACTCCAAGCCAGATATATAAACAATATTGATATATGATTTGGTTTTTTAAATTAAAGAACAACTCTTTAAGAACTGAAAATGTTTATTTAATAAAAATTGTTTTTTAATAAGAAATATAAATGAAAAGAACACCCAAAAAAATTTATAGAAAAGTAACTGCTATAAGTTTTTTCTTATGCAATCTAAAAAAAAAACAAAGTCTTCAAACTTGTTTTTTTTAGCCAGAGATTCTATTCTGATACACCAGTATACTTTTTTGAGTTTTTTGAGATTCTTGTAGTAAAGAAAAAGAAAGTAAGTGTAAAAAACTTTTAGGTATTGAAAATCAAAAATAAAAAAAAATGTTTTTTTTAATTTTAAAAAAAAACATTGTTGAAACTACTCAATTTTCATAAACATTACTATTTAATTGCCACTTAATTGTTACTTAATAGTTAAATAAAAGTAACAAAACAATTACAATAGTGTTAACTACTATACTACTGCAT